CTCATTGCTAGTGTATAGAAATACAACTGATTTTTAATGGCTGATCTTATATCCTACAATTTTGCCAAGTTCATTTATTAGCTCTAGTCAATTTCTTGCATATTCTTTGGAATTTTCTATATATATATGATCATGCCATCTGCAAATAAAGATAATTTTATTTCTTCCTTTCCAATTTTGATTTGAGTAATTTCTTTTTGTTGCTTAATTTCTCTGGCCTGAAATTCCAGTACAATATTGATGAATGCAGGCATCCTTGTCTTGTCCCTGATATTACATGGAAAGCTTTCAATCTTTCATTATTGAGTGTTATTTATTATTGAGTTTTTCATAAATGCCTTTTATCATGTTGAGACTATCTTCTCATATTCCTAGTTTTTTTAGTGCTTTTAGCATGAAAAGGTGTTGGAGTTCGTCAAATGTTTCTTCTGTAACAATTGAGATGATAATGTATTTTTTCTTTTCTTATATTAATGTATATTACATTAATTGATTTTCATATGTTAAATCACCCTTTCATTGTGGATAACCTTCAGTTAATCATGACATAAAATCCATTTAACAGTCTGCTGGCTTAGTTTGTTATTGAGGATTTTTACATCAATATTCATCAGGATTTTGGAGGTGATGAATATGTTTATGATATACATTGTAGTAAACAATCAAACCAGTAAAAATATGTACATACCATATGACCCAGCACTTCTTCTGCTTTGTTTACCATACAGATATATGAACAAATGTGCCCTGGAAAGCATAGATGAATATTACAGTGGCATTGTTTGTAAGAGCCAAAATATTGGAAATAGACTAAGTTATCAAAAGGGAAAGTTTAAATAAATTGTGGCCTATCTATACCAAGAAAACTATAATATTGTTAAAAAGAATGAGAATCTTATATTGAAAAATCTCCAAGAATATTAAGTAAAAACAACAGGATAGTAGATGTAATATTATAATATTTACTTAAAATACAAAACAGAAATACAAATTTCTAAATGGATATAACTGGTAAGAATTTAATTTTGGGGAAGGGACTGAAATTGGAGGTGTGGTTAAAGCAGTATATTAAGATGAACTAGTCTATATCAGTGGCTTTAAAACAATTTGTTACTCCTTCAAGTCCTAGTTCAAAGAGAGTTATTGGCTCTCTTGCATGCCTTCCCTCCATTGATTATTTGAGTTTCTAGCCTACATGCATCTCACAGTCATGTGTTCCAGATGGCACATATAATTTCCAAGTTTACTGAAAGGAGAGTGGAGAGATCACCCAGCATTGTTTATAAGCCTTAGAAGTGTCTTATATTACTTTTGATGGCCCCAACATATGTGCAAGAGAGACTGGGAAATGTAAGAGAACACATACTTTTTGATCAAGCAATCTTATTTTCCAGAATCTATTCCACAGAAATAAAAACACCAGTAATTTAATATGTGTACAAATATGTCCATTGCAGGCAGCATTGCTTTTAGTGGGCACAACATAGAAATAATTTGAATGTTAATTAACAGGGGAATGGTTTTAATAATGTAAGTTACATTCAAACTATAGAAAGTAAATTCATTTGCATTTGTATTTATTGACTTCTTGAAAGTCCTATAAGACTTCCAAGCTGAAATGAAGACACACATAAGTAACTCAAAATCATATGAAGAAATATATAACAACAGTAATGATAGCTACATAGGTAAATATAAAAGCTAGTAGTTTTGTATATTTGGTTTATAACTTCTCTTTTTTCCTATATGACTTAAAAACCAAATGCATAAAACAATAATTATAAAGCTATGTTAATATTCACAATCACCATAGACCCTGTTTCAATTGAGCTATGTAGGAGTTTCCTCATAATCAAAGAGCCTAATGGTTTATAATTCATAAATAAGAGCCCCTGAAAGTCATAATGTAATATTATACTATTTAGTTAAAGTGCAAAACAGAAACATAAATTTCTAGATGGATATCCATCAAACTGATAAGTGTTTATTTATGGGGAAGAGATTGAAATTATAGGTGTGGTTAAAGCAGTATATTAAGATGAGCTGGGTAATTTATTATCTGTGACAATATTATTTGTGACAATAGCAACGTAAAGACATAAAAAAGATATATAATGTCTTAACAATATTTCTGGAGATGTTTCAATATAAAAATATTCTTTTTAACTACTGTGTAGTTCTCTTGGTATAGATAGACCACAGTTTATTTAACCTTTTCCTTTTGATGACTTGGGCTATTTTCAATTTTTTGGCTCTTAGAAACAATGTCACAATAGACATCCATTTTTGCTTTCCTGTGCACATGTGTACATATATATCTATGGTAATACAAAACAGTAGAAGTGCTAGGTCATATTTTATGTACATATTTTTACTAATTTATCCTTTTGTTTTTCATTTATAAAAGCTATTCGGGTATTAGAGATATTTTTCCATTATCTGTTATGGTACTGCAAATGTTTTCTTCCAGGCTATTTCTTGTCTTTGGACCTTTTATATGTTTTCCTTTATAACTTCTGGATTTTCTTTCATGCTTAAGAAGATAATCACATCACAAAATTATACACTTTTTTGTACTTAATTTTCATTGCAAAATTTTATTCTTGTGTTTCACACTGCATCTTTAATCCACCTGGGATGTATTTTTGTGTATGTGGTGAGTAGGACTCTGTTTATTTTCTTTGGATTGGATAGTTCATGTACTTGATTCTTAGGTTAAAAATAGCATTACAAATATGTTAAATTCTTAAATAAAAATGCTCATTGCTAAACATTTGCTTACCACTATGATTATTTCCTTAGTATAAATTTCAGTAGCAGAATTGTTGGGTTGTGGAGTATGTAAAATACACAGCTTTTGGTATTTATTGTGACAAGAAGCAAAAATGGATGTAGCAATTTACTCTCTCTTTGAATAGAAGAATGCCTACATGCTCAATAAAACTGAGTATTGTAAGTAAATATTTGCCTGTTTGATAGATGGATAACAACTTGTTTTTATTTTACTTATTTTTCACCTCATATTAAGGCTGAATAATGTTTATTCTCTACAGATTTACTTGGTGAATACCCTGAATTTTCAGGCTATGATAACCACCATTTTAACTTTCAGGCTCTTAATTATGAATTACAAACCATTAGGCTCTTTAATTATAAGGAGACTCCTTATGTACTGCTCAGCTGAAACAGGGTCTATGGTTAGGGTTTATGAAGCAGTAACAGAGATCATGATTTCATGGGAACCCCAAAATGGAGATTCCAAGGCCAAAGACACAAAGATTCTGACTCAGTGTGTTTGTAAGTGTATGTGTATGTACGGGGAGCTATGTGTCAGAATTTTGCATTTTTAGAAAGCACTCCAGACAATTATAATGTAAGGAGCTGATTTTTTACAGACATCTGTTACACAATGTTACAGTAATTTTATAGGCTGAATTTGGGGAATCATCTCTTTCCTGTTGGGTTCCTTTTGAAAATGAGGGTTACAGTTTCTAGTGAAATAAATTCTTGCCAATTTTACACAATCAGAAGCAAAACTGGGCCAAGAACACTAGAATTCTAATTAACATTTATGAAGTACACACTATATGTAAGTCACAGCACTAATCAATAGAAGTATAACGAAATATATGGTATAGTCCTTACTTTGAGACACAAAATGTAAAAAGTTCAGTTAAGATAAAACACTTAAGTGTATATCTATCTATCTATCTATCTATCTATCTATCTATCTATCTATACACACACATACTTTGTAAGACTAAAAAATATATATCACATATATACACTAAATATGTAACACACAGAGTGTGCCAAAAAGTGTATACACATTTTAGGAAAGGAAAAAACTATTAAAATTGTAATACTCAATATATATCGATAACAAAAGATGAATACAAGTCACATTTTACTTTTGCAATTACAAGAGGTGCTCAAAGTGGTTACCATCAGCATTCTGACACTTCTGATTATGGCAAACTACTGCTCAAGCAATGTTGACAAAGTGTCCACTTGTATACATTTTTTGGCACCCCTGGTATATGTGTATATATGCACTAAAAGTATATATATTTCTACATATAATATTTTATATATTGTGTGTATATATATATATATCCATCCATCCATCTTACAAAGAATTTTTACATATGTTTCAGCAGGGGAAGAAATGAAGAGAGATTGTTCCTTTGGATCTATCTTCTGAACCATTCATGTATGTTCCTTTGGATCTATCTTCTGAACCATTCATGTATGTTATAAACGACCCTAAGAACCTACTGAACCTGTAAGGCAGGCCTGCCAGGAGCCTCCAGGGAGAGATCATGTCACAAGAGAAGCAAGACACAACCTTAGTCCTTAGATTTAGGGCATCAGCTCTGACTACAGCATGATATCTTTCACTCAAACTTCTATCCCAGTCCAGCTTCCAAAATGGACTCATGTCTGACTCCTATGGAGAGGAGGGGTCCTGGGATTAAAAACAGAAGGGGCTGTTTTGCTAAAAATTCTGCAAGACATTGCGGCCCAAGCAATCCTGGAACAGTCCCCACCTGGGTTAAGTGACACTAAAGCAGAGAGAAGCTTCAGAAAATAGAGTGGGGGTTCAACCCACTGGGGACTCCAGGTAACTCAGTGGGGTTTTGACACTTGACTCCAGTGCCCCAGAAGCTGTGGGGCTAGCAGAGAGGAAAGGACCCAGCGGAAGAGATAGCAGTGCCCAGCAGGCATGGCAGGACTCAAGGGAGGAGACTGAGGAGCTCACCAGCAGAGGACTGGCATAGAAGCCCCCACCTCCCTGCCTGTTGAACTGGTTCCTGAGCACAGGTTGTCATGCCAGGACCCTCCCTCAAATAACTGATGTTCTGTTGTGGGTTGGGCTCTGTATGCACAGGTGGGGACAAGAGCCCATCAAGCACAGGTCAGTCACCTTTCTTCCCCACAGCAGCCCTGTGAGGCAAATGTTTTCCCCATGAAAGGATCAAGTCTTAAGCAAGTGCACCTGTAATCATTGCCAGTTTTATTCCTCTGGCTAAGAGATCCAGAGGTTGTTTAAAGTTTACATTTATTTTTTTATAGTTCTGTTATAAGAGCTTATTAAGTGTTTTACTGCCCTTCAAAAGTGATTGACAAGTTATTTTATTATGTCTGTTTATTTTATTTTTTGTGTGTGTGACACAATTAATAAACACACACACACACACATTTATTTTCTATGGAAAATGAGAAGATGCAGATATGCTAAAAGAGAAACAAAGTACAGATCCAAGGAAGTCACTGTTAACTTTTTGGTGAATAATCAAACTTTTTTTTGCATTATATCATATATAAATGTACATTATATATCTATATATATAGATATATAATGTTTTGCAATGTGTTTTCACTTTACAATATACAATGAGCATCCTCACATGCAAATGAATGAAACATCCTATTAAATAAATTAATGAGATTGGGTCAAATGATGAGATGTCCATACCAAGAGTCATATGTAAATCAAAGGAACATTGAAGGATTGGAGTAAAATGTTAGCAAATATTTAGCAAGAAAATGCAGACAAAACAAACCCAGTAGTGGCAATGTTAATAACAGAAAATAGCTGAATTCAGGAGAGTGATGAACTAAATGGGATAAGGACGGTCCCGGGAATGTCTGTTGTTAGAACGCAGAGCCCTAAACTTCTTTCTCAGACCCCTTATCTCTTCCAAACACCTTTCCATCTCATCTCCCTCTCTTGTCATTTCTTCATTATTAAAATGCCTATAATCTATGTCCTCTTTAAATTCCTCGAGAGACTGAAGCAGCCTTTGCCTAAAATTCCCTTCTGTTTGCTGGCGTTCAAATTCTCCATAGGGGCGTTCTTCCTCTCTCTTTGGCACACTGCACTTGGGCTTTCCTTCATTTTCTTTGCAGAGTTTTTGCATGATGTCGTTTCCTGCTTAAGTCCAGGGAGAAAACGAAGAGTAAGATTGCTTCGTTTCTTTTGATTCAGGATTGTCAGTTTCTCTTTGAAACAAGATGATGCCCTAATCGCCAATCTCTGCCACAAGGTCCAGCCCTCAGAAGTTTAAGATGCTACTCCTTCCTACCACGCCACCTCCATCTCCTTTCCCTTCCCTCAACAACCCACCATTTCTCCTGCAGACAAGGCTAATGGCCTTTCCAAAGGTCAGGAGGAGAGGAGCAGAGCTGTGAGACTGCAAATTTTACCCAGCTCTTGTCTTTCCCAACTACCACCCTCAGAGACCCTGTCTAAATGCTTCCCTCACACTGACCTGTGAGAATTTGGGATCGTTTCCTCCTTTTTTCTTCCCTCGAGATGTCCGAACACAGATCCTCGGACCTGCAGACAGAAGGAAAGCAGAGCGGAGGAGAGAGTTCTCTGGGGATCCACCAGCCTCAGACATAAGACGCACATTGTCTTGAATCTGGGATCCTCATAGCCATCATCTCCCAAAATGTCCTACCTCCTGGTTACCTTCCTGTCCGTATCCCTTCCTCCTGGAACTTGGTCCCCACCCCCTCCCTCACCCTCAGGCCTAGTCCTTGCAAGGTCCACAGTTTCCTCCCTCCTCACCCGCTGCATCCCTGTCAGGCTAGCATTGAATGAGACAAATTATTTTCAATTTATCTCTAAATTTCTCTGTCTGCCCCCAGGTTTCCAACCGTTCTCCACACACCAGCCCACAACGTATTTCCTCCAACAGAATTGGAGAGAGAAGGATAAGTAGGATCAAGGGAAAGCTTGCCAGTCTGAGAGAAGGTGATTATTTCTAAACTATCATTGAATCTCCGGGTGTCTTTCACGAGACTTCCACCTACTCCCGCCTCCCGTCCCCCACCCCCTCCCCCTTTCAAAAAATACAATTATCTCTGACAAGTCTGCAGGGGTTTGGGGAAAGCCACAAGATTCAACCATTACCACCCCAGGGGGCCCAGCTGGTCCCTCACACCCACCTGCTGGGATTTAAGGAATTTATGTCTTCCTCCTGGCCACAAGCACGATTGCCTGCAGGGCTGTAAGGAGCTGGTACCCAGAGAAGAAAGAAGCCCGGGAATATAAGGACTTCACGTCATCTCTTGGTCATGTGAGGATTATGTCATCCTCCATCTCTGGTCCCCACTCTCCCCTCCCACCAGCTGTGCTGCAGAAGTGGAAAGGCTTACTAACCTCACACCCTCCGCCACACCAGGCCTTGTCACTCATTTTTGTCATTGCTAATTCCAGAGGTCAAAAGTGACCCCTTCTCCCTGTGAATGAAAATTGCCTTTGTCTGATAACCAGAGAAGGGCTGCACCTTCCCACAGTCATGTTAACCATTGTTACATTTTTAGTGGCTGTGTTCACAGAGAGGATTACTCATCCTCTTCTAAGCCACAAGAACAAAAGGTAGCACTCTTCCCTCCCCCCCACCATCCCAATCCTAGTCACTAATAGCCACCATTTCCTTTGCAGTTCAATTCTTAAAACCAAATTGGAAGGGGTATGGTAAATTAAAAAAGGTAATAACTGGGATTTTGTTTTTTACTTTTGTCCTGATAATTTCCCATCATTTTCCATTTTCCATAAGCTTATTATATTCTTTTTACAATCAGAAATACAATGACGATATGTACATTTGGGAATAAAAAGGTTCAAAATAGGAAGATAAAAAGGCCCAGCCACCTGTTTCTGCTGCTGAGTCATAAGATAAATATAAACTCTCCAGACAGACACATTTTTTGGAAGTTTAAAATGTACAGGGCAGCTGGACAGGCTACCCTTTTGAGACACCCCTAGGTATGTGAAACCCTTTCATTAGGTGAGCTATCCAAGCCATAATTCCACAGCACCTTGCCCTTAGATTTTCAGATCTCAAAAGTCAGTCATAAAATTGTACTTGTTTGACCTCAGTATCATGCCTCCCAGTTAGTACCATGTCTTTTCATTTCCTTCACTACTGTGTCCAAAAGATCTTACTTTTCCTCAACACTCTTGTTAAGAATCAAATAGTTGTTCATCTCCATCCTATTTATGTTTACTTAGACCTTATTCCACCACAATGGGGAATGAGAAGCCCAAACAGAAACTGGCCACATTTAGTCATTTATCACACTAAACTTTTTGTTGCTGAGGATTTTTATACTAATCTAAATGGATTTGTTGTTTATTTGTTAGCTTGAAATGGATGCGACAGAAGGAGGGATGCATGCTTAAAACTTGTTTTTAGGAAGATTGTGTCTCATTATGAATGCAAAGCTGCCACTAACCAGTTTGATGTAAATTGCTCTAGAAAATAAGAAAGACAAGAGGTCTTAAAAAGAGTGAAGCAAGATCTCTCTAAAGAGTGGGAGCTCTGAGCAACAGGAGTCCCAGCCCAAGCTGAGCTGACAACAGGTGGCAGGATGGCTCAGCTAAAAACAAAACAAAACCAAAAGAGTGAAGCATTGTTGTTACAGTTATTAAGGAATAGTTTAGTTGTAACAGAGGCAAAACATTTGTTGGCAGGGTGGGGAATTCCTGAATCCTCTATGTACAGTGTTCCATGCAGATGGTTAGACTTATGGTTTTCAGATGGCTGGAAGGATCCAGGTGCTGAAGATTTTGGCATTATAGTGAGAATCATGGCTTTGAACAGATCTGAGTTTGAATTAATTGCATTTACTTACGAGTTGTTTAACCTTGGATCTATAAATCAGATTATAAAACTTCCCTGTGCCTCATCTATAAAATGTGGCTAATAGTTCTAAGTACTTGATAGAATTGTCAGGATTAAATGATAGAATTTATATAAAGCATTCAGTACATGACTGACAAATAACAAGTGCTCCAATAAATGACAGGTCTCAAGGATTACCTTCTAAGGATCTTCAGAATCCTTGCAGTTCCCACTCTGGCTCCACTGCCACACCCCTAAAGCAAGCAGCCATAAACTCTTAGGCTACAACAACATTTACTGGTCTCTTTGCCTTGCATCTTGCCACCTTTAATAGAATAATGATTCCAAACAATAGATATGATCATATCACTGCCCTGCATTATTTTACTCCATTCTCCAATAATCTTATTAGATAAGGACATCTTGTTTTTTTTGTTTTAAGATTTTTTTGGGGAATTGGGGAAGGGGAACAGTGTTGGCGAATTGGGGAAGGGGAACATCCAAATTGTTGTCCTTCAATCTTAGTTGTGGAGGCCACAGCTAGCTCAGCTCCAAGTCCAGTTGCCACCTGTCCACCTGTTGGCAGCTTGCAGCCGCTCAGCTCAAGGTGCCGTGTTCAATCTTAGTTGCTGGTTGGGCATAGCCCACCATCCCATGAGGGAGTTGAACTGGCAACCTTGTTGTTAAGAGTACGTGCACTCACCAGCTGAGCCATCCTGCCACCTGTTGGCAGCTCAGCTCAGGCACAGCTCACTGGCCCATGTGGGAATCAAACCAACAAACCTGTTGCTCAGAGCTTGTGCTCTTAGCCAATTGAGCCACTCAACCGGCCCTAGATAGGTACATCTTTAGTTGATCTTCTAAACATTTTACAGAACTCATGCTCATTTATAAGTAAAAGCTTGTATGAAAATACATGCAAATGTAAGCAAAGAATGATGTTGAATTAGATTTGACCTGTTTTCCTGGTATTGGCTGATGGGACTCATAAGTGAGGACAAAGAGGCATTACGTATTACAAAAAGAAACTCTAATAATTGGGATCAGATACCTTCATAAGAGCTTACCAAAAAGCATCTGTACCAGTTCTACTACCAACAAAAATCACCTAAGCCTTCCTTCCCCCAAGTCAATGTAAAGAGACAGATAAGTGTAAGAGGTAAATAATTGTGGGAGTCACTGACTTGCGAGGAGTTTAATGTTGTTCATTACAACAACAGCAGCAACACCTAACACTTATATAATAATAGAAAGGAAACTGGAAATTGAAAATATGTAGAAATTAACACAGTTTGAAATAGTGAATGTGACAAGAAATCACAGGAAATTAGGAAATACTTTGGCAGGAATAAAAATTAACACACAACTTACCATAGTTCATGGGATTCATGTAAAGTAGTGCTTAAAGTGAAATTTGTATTTGCAAGCACATACTTTAAAAAAAGAATGGTCTTAAAACAATACAATAACCTTTTACCTTAGAAAGTGAGAGAAAAAAGAGCATAGTAAAACCAACACAACCATAAGGAAGGAGATAAGGATTAGAGCAGAAATTAATGAAACAGAGAAGAGAAAAAAGAATACACAGAAATTCAAAAAACCAAACATTGTTTCTTGGAAGAGATCAACAAAATTCACAGGCTTTTAGTTAGACTGCTTAAGAAAAAAAGAAAGACTCTAATTACTAAAATTAAGAAGAAAAGAGCAGCCATTACCATGCTGTCATGCAACAGTGATGCCCACATAATTTTAAAATTATTTTTAGATTACTAAAATGTTCTTTACTAGAAATCTCTGTGAATTGATTTAAAGAAATAAAATAATGGGAACTTCCTAAAAAAAACAAAACAAAACAAAAGCAACCAATACTATTGCACTTACAGAAATTTTAAAATAGGATTGTAAGAAAATACTACGAACAGCTCTAAGTCAGTTAATTAAATTAGGTGACATGATCAAATTCCTGGAAAGACACAAACTACCAAAACAAATCCAAGAAGAAATAGAAAACCTGAATAGATTGATAACAAATAAAATTAATAATTGAAATTAATAATTTTATAACTTCCCAATAAGAAAAGACCAACCCCAGATGACTCCACTGGTGAATTCTATCAAACATTTGAAAAGAAATAATACCAATTTTTCCAAAAGTAGAAAAGGAGAGGACATTTCTCAATTCATTCTAAGTGGCCAATATACATTGATATAAAAACCAGAAAAAGACATCACATGAAAACTGCAAAACAATACCTTTTATGATATAGATGCAAAGATCCTCAATAAGATACTAGCAAGTTGAATTTAACAACATGTAAAAAGAATTATACACCATGACCAAGCAGAGTTAATCTCAGGAATGTCAATACCTGTGTATGCCATATGAATAGAATAAAAAACAAACATCACGCTATCATTTCATTTCATCATTTTATTTCAATGAACTGCACAAAATTTTGAAAAAATACAATAGCTTTTCATAATAATTTCCAAACTAAAAAAAACTGGGAATAGAGGAAACATCCTTAATCTGATGAAGGACATGTAAGAAAAACCCACAGCTAACATCATACTCAGTGGTGAAAGATTGGGTGCTTTCCTATGATCAAGGTAAAGACGTCAGCTCTCATCACTTCTAGTCAATGTTATACTAGAGATTCAGTTAGCAAGAAAATAAAATCTAAAGCATCCAGATTGAAAAGGGAGAAGTAAATCAATCTCTGTTTGCATGGGATATGATCTTATAGAGAGAAAATCCTAAAGAATCCATAAGAAAGCTACCAGAATTAATAAACAAATTCAGCAAAACTGCAGAGTATGAGACCTACACACAAACCTAGTTGTGTTTATATACATCTGTGATGAAAATCAAAAAGGAAATAAAGGAAACAATTCTATTTGCAATAGCATAAAAAGGGATAAAGTACTTAGGAAGACATTTAACAAAGAAGTACAAAACTTATACTCTGAAAATTACAAAGCATTGTTGAAATGAAGACCTAAATAGATGAGAAGACACCCCATGTTCATAGATTGGAAGACTTAAATTGTTAAAATGGCTATAATCCTTGAATAAAGCCACAGATTCAATGCAATCCTTATCAAAATTTTAATGACCTTTATTGCATAAGTGAAAAAGTAGACTTTCAGAAACATATGGAAATGCAAGGGGCCTGGAATAGCTTAAACAATCTTGTCAAAAAAGAGCAATGATGGAGGAATCACTCTTCCTGATTTCAAATCTTACTACAAAGCTATAATAATTAAAACAGTGTGCTACTGGTGGCATAAGCATAGACACATAGATCAATGGAATAGAATTGGGACTTCAGAAACAAACCCATATACTATGATCATTTACTTTTTGAGAATGGTGCCAAGATAATTTGATAAGGGGGAAAATAGAATTTTCAACAAACGGTATTGG